ATAACAACAACAACAACGTTGAAGAGCAAATTTCACATTCTCTTCTGGCATCCATCTTGATCTTTTCTTCCTTTCCTGTCTTTTTAATGACCTTTTGTTTTCTTCATATATGATATTCTTGATGTCATCCCACAACTTGTCTGGTCCACAGATGGTCTCTAAATTCAGGTGCGATGCAATAAAGGTCATATTTTCTTCAGCTTCAAGTTGAACTTACATATGGTTTGTTCCACAGTCAATTCCTGGACTTGTTTTGACTGATGATATTTTAGCACAATTTTCCTCAACTTTTTCATAGAATCTTTTCATCTTACTTAATAAGTCAATAATATGCATTAATATATATTAATATACATTTTATACCAATGTTGAATAAGATATCTAGTTTTAATTATCTATAAAATTTTGATCACAAAATAGTTCAGAATATTTTTTATTTGGAACATAGTTTGACATTTAAGTTTGGAGCTATATATCCCCCCTTTTTTTTTTGCCTGAATCACAGGGAAATTCTGGTTAATTTTTATCAGAAACATGTGAGACTAAAGAGTTTTGGTAATCCTAGACTGGGATTAGTTAGTATGGCACCAGTTTACCCACACTAGCAGTCTTTGCTTAAGCCTCTAGTGAATGCACGTGAGTGTCCCCTCCCCCCACCCAATCTTCTACTTTTCTTTATTTCTTTAGCTTATTAGAAATATAGTCAGTTTATCCATATCCTGATTTTTATTTGTTTATAAGTTGATTTATTCTAAAGGGCATACCTTTCTAATCTGATCTTGTGATGACTTTAAGAACTAAAATTTAGTTGCTTATCATAAGAGTCAGTTTTAGTAGTTTCCCCAGGTGCAATTATGTAATTTAAAGTTATTGAGTACTGATTGTCTAATGAGCAGCTAAGTGTGGAATTACTATTTTTTAATATATTTGAGATTTGTGATTTACAGAAGTTAGGAATAGTCTTCATATAGTTTATTTTAAAAATGATTATATATACATGTATATGTATGTGTGTGTATATATATATTGTATATTTATATTATATATATATATAATATATATATATATATAATATAAAGTGAGGTTTAAAAGAGAAAGAAAACTGAATCAGGAGGCATAAAACCTAAATCTAAGTCTTGCTTCTGGTTCTGTGTCGCTTGGTAAGACTTAACCATTCTGGTACTTAAGTTTCCTCACTTGAACAATAATGGTGTTCATCTTTATATCTCTATACAATTCCTTTCTGAGCTGTGATTTTCTTAGATTTCTGAATAGAGATGGTATAGTCTAAATATGATTAAAATTTGGTGATTGACCTCTAATAATGCTGAGCAGGTTTCAGTAGAGCTTCCAGACTGAAGACAAGGAAGAAAGAATATCAGCCAGTGAAAACTCTGTGGATCACAATGGTCTGAACCACAACTAATCACAGGGGTGATGTAGGATCAGGCTGCATTGCAGCCCATTGTGCGTGGGTTCACCATGTATTCAGGGCTACCTTAATAGCAGCTAAAAGCAGCATATCAATTTTATATTTAAGGAGCATATTGTAGTTTGCCTTTTAAATTTTGTTGTCAGATTAAAAAGAGTGTTACATTTTGGTAGGCAAAAGAGTTTAAAAGTGAATGGAAGGATTCTTTTGAGGGTATGTCACCTTTTCTAGACCTGGAAGCAGTTAAGAAGGGGAATCTTAGGATTTCCTGGGAGCTTTCCTCAAAGTTTTCTTGCTAAGACTTCACCCACAAGAGTTCACTTAACCCTATGTTCTTTGGAATATAACCAATAAATGAGTCCAAATGATTTTGTCTCTCATTTTACCACTTTATTGTCTCTGTGATTAATCTATTTTTTTTCTATCCCTACGGCCACTGCCACAGCTTAGAATCACCATCTTTAAAACTGTGTTAATGAGAAAGCAGTCTAAAGATGTCTCCCATATTCCTTCTGTCCAGTCCATTCTCCATATCAAAACTAAAAATGCAAATAGTTTATGCTCTGGAGACTAGACTTGGACATATTTTCCCTTCTTCTTTTTTTTTCAAACTTCTCAAAACTTGTAAAACTTATAAAAATTTGTCATTTTAATGACTTTTAAGTGCACAATTTAGTGGCATTACTTATATTTACAATGTTGTGTAACTATCCCACTATCTATTTTCAGAACCCTTTTATCACCCCAAATATAAACTATATCCATTACATAATACCTCCCTATTCTCGTTCCTCCGGCCCCTGGTAAATTCTAGTTGATTTTCTATCTTTATGCATTTGCCTATAGTAGATATTTCATGTAAGTGGAATTATAAAATAGTTCCCTTTTGGGTCTGCCTTATTTCACTTATAATGGTTTATTTATTTATTTTATTGTGATATGGGTGAAAATTTACAGAGCAAATTCACTTTTTATACAGCAGTTCACATACATTTTGTCTCATGACATTGGCTACAATTTAACTCAATGCAACAGCTCCCCTCCCACTTCCTCCTGATAGTTACCTCTTCACTGTGTCCATCCCTCCTTGAACTCCTGCCCCCTGAGCTGTCTCCCTGTGCATGAACAGCCCTTCTTTCTCCCATGATTATCCTCTCCAAGGAGTGTATCTA